ATGACAATAGATTACTCTGATTATATCAGTTCGACCCTGATCTATATTTTGCTTGTTTTAAATAAATACTATTTTTATTTTAAATATTCGTTCAATGTATTGTGAGTTCATCTTAAGCGCAGTCTGTTTGGCGATGATACACGAACGTGTCGCTCACTGAGATATTTTTATATCGACACACATGTATAATAGTTGAATGATTTCATTTAAAAATAACTGTTTTCTCAAGTGCATTTAAAGTTCAATTTTCAGTTTCAGTTCGGGTTCAATGTGTGTAATAATATAATATGACATCACAGATGACTCTATCACGAATGATAAGCGAATTGATTACGATCCCTTCCCGTTTAATATCAACTAATCCATGTTATTCAATGTATGATAACGACTAGTGTAGTATAGAAGTGATGAAGTGCGAGTGAGACGGCATGAGGATAACGTGAGCCGCGGTATCTCGTGCGAAAAGTATCGGATCGAGGCACGTGCAAAAAACTGTTACTGCATTTAGAACAAGTGATAAGGTTGAATGAGTACAGTCAGTCGGACTAACTACACTAATATGAAAAAAACATGTTAAAAAACTATATGAAATTGACGAAAATTATCATGAATAATCATGAATTACTTTCATATTTATGTTCAATATTTATTTCAGTGCCGTAACTGTACTGTTATAAAGTTATTTCTCGCGGTCTCTTTACCCGTGCTCTTTCTGCACGATGATTCACATCTCAACGTCATTAATTCTGTGAAAGTTCTTATATTTATAGCATTAATTCAATATATTATACATATGCTACATTTAAACTCGACAAATATTCACATTCGATAAACTGTATCAGATTAACAAATAAAAAATTATATAATGTACCCTTTATCAAACTACTATTTGTACAGTTATAATGATGTCAAAGCTGAAATGAACTTAATATTTTAAAGCGTACAGTTTAATTCACAATACTTTATTAATTATTATTAAACAAATAACTGAAGAAGGGTTCAATGGAAAACTAACTGATATATACGAGTGACGTAAAAAACAAATGAACAGAATGAATTAAAAGTCATTGTATTAAAACATTAAGCAAGAGGCAGACTTGATGATTGACGGCTCTCACGTGGTAAGAGAAAAAATATATTACTGATGACACACACGTCTTATCATTAAAGATATATGATGTTAAAATCTTGTTCCAATAATTTGATAACAAAAACAATAGTAAAGAATATATTGTTCATGCAATAGTAAGGTCGAACAACTGTTGGTAACTATACAGTTTGAATTATAATAAGAGAGAGAGGTGTGATAGGGACTTTACTTGTGCGAATATTATAACGAGGTCCGAGACTGTGCTTCCCCTGTACCGATATTAACAGTTAAATGAAATTAATTTGTAAACAGAACACGTACTTTATATTCCCGATCACCTTGAACACACTCGCGACACACATAATGTAACATCACTTTTAATAAATACTTGGATCTCTCTTTATACTTATATAAGGGTCCTGTTGTACAAAAACTATCCCCGTAGTTAAAACTATTTTCTATGTATCAATGTTATTCAGTGAACTGTAATATTTCAATAACTTTTCTTTCTCTGTTACAAATAACAATGATTAATTCATGACCGCGTCGTCGCGGACACATTCGGTTATATACAGACTTGGGCAACTTAAAGTATCATGTCTGCGCCACCATTTCTATTCATTTCGTAATTTTCTTTATGTCATATAAATTAATAAATAAATTTGTTAACTGCAATGTATATTGCCGTCTCTTTCTCTCATCCTGTCTTCAGCTCCTTGGCCGTCATTGAAACGCGGTCAAGTGTAGAGCGTTCGTGTTTTGTTTTGACCGAGAACAATGACACTTGGCGAGTGCTCCTTAGGTATGAGGTGATGACGTCATAGCATCACCAACAAACAAACAGACATACAAAATCATATGTTGGATGTTGGAAGAGCAATCATAAAGGTTAATACTTTAATATACTGACGAAGGTACCAAGAGATTCCCTAAGTAAAAGATAGTTGATAATGTATGGAACAAAAAGATCCTATTTTCCTATACTAGTGACTAAAAAAAGCTAGAACCTAAGAATACAAAATGTGTCTATTTATCGAGTAAGTTGTCTGAACATCTGATGCATTCAAGTATTACTGAGAAGTCACGTTTTATTTGATTCTTTGATATGTAAATAATAAGTCATTAAAGTATATACGACAGTTACTTTGAACAAAGACTCTAACTGAATTTACAATCCTGACGTATATTTATATGTTATTTCAAAAAGGTTTTTTTAATAAAAAAACATCGTATTTAGCCCTAAAAGCCATGACTTGTAAATAATGTTTGTATGAGCGATCCGTGCGAAGGATCCTTTAAGGTTTGATGATCCGAAAAATAAAACAAGGCAGAATGAAATTGTGTAGTCAGTACATGTTTGGTGCGTGTGTCAGAGTATGCTGGAGTGCCAAGTTGGTTGGTGAGGACTCGTCGTGAATCATGATTGCTAAACCTACCTTCAGTACTAAAAAACTTTCGTAACCACTCATGAAAGAACCTCAAATATTTTTGCAATTCATCTTCAAGAACTTGTCCGATGTTTTAAACTTATTGCACCCATTAAATAACTTTCAAAGGCTCTCTGTGACATATATTAAACAGCCGACCTTCATTGCACGTAATATATTCGGCGGCTAACGTAATAAACATCGCGTTATAGTCAAATAAAGTTACAATGAATAAAATAATATAGACGTTTTGAGGTCCACGAGAGTTTTATGAACACTACGCGGCCTCCATAAAACAACGTTGTTATGATCAGTGTTCGCGGCTTCGGGTCACTTAAACAGGGTTGCGAAAGATGCATCACAAGAAAACATACGAACATAGTTGTGTTACAACAATTAGTATTGAATAAACTTGTGAGACTTCTTATACGACTTAGTTAATTGGTATAATCAAGATAACACTCGTCGAACTTTATAGACAAAATATTAAATAATAATTGAAACAAACAAGTAATAAACCTTTAACTTTTATTACTTGCATATAATATGATTGGCAAATATAATTATACGGTATTATTCCATGACCAAGTGATTAGAATGATCTAATTCTTTATATTGGGACATTGTTGTAAGGAATTGTTGACTTTGAATGTCACAAGTAAAGCCGCAGTCTGTACGTAGTGTTCCTCGAAAACCTTTTTCGGATGCAGGTCTCGAGGTCAGAGGCCGGCCTTGTCGTGTATCGTGCCATCAGCTGGGCCAAGGAGTCCTACGTGATACGCATCCTAACATACTTTATGTACAACCTTTCAATGATTCCATAATGGCTCATTTGATAACAAGTTTATAGGAGGCGCTGTGACGTCATAGAGGTCCACTGAAACTAAAACCCAATCCTGAAAGAAATTACTATGATGAATTTCTTAGATTCAATTGAAGAGATTGCTTCTTAAAAACATTATCTTTTATTTAAATATTATTAGATACTAGTTTGCAATATATTCACTATTATATCGCATAGTATTTATTGCCCATAACAAGTTAAATAATTCTATATAAATCTGACAGTCTATTAATAGTTTATAGATTGTTAATTCAAATTCAGTCATGGAGTCGCCTTTGGGATGTTTGTTTTCATTTGGTTTACGTCATCGTTTCTCCAATATCGCTATAATATTATAAAAAATATTTACTCTTTCATGATATTCTATATATTCCTACATTTTTTACAATAATTCCTGTTACATTCACTTTCACTTATAAAACCAATGTCTGTTAACAAAATTTCGTTCATAATTTCGGTGATGCGAGAATAAGTTGCACTTAAAACCTGTTATTGAAGTTTTAGGAACAACAGCGTTAACTGGCGGGAAAAATATAATAAAAAATAAAAGAGACGTCATTCACAAATAATATTCATTATTATTGATCTTATAATGGTAATTAATATTAATTATTTTTATGGATGAGCGCCGGGCGTGTCATTCATATGCCTGAATCGGTTTACATTCTGAGACAAGGTCGTGAAACGCTCGACCACTTTGTAAATTGTAACACGTCAAGACGACTATTAACTACAACTGTAACACTATGTCCAATAAACTGATAATATTATTTAGATTTTAAAACACCAATAATAAATATTCTAAATCTGGCGCAAAATAACGTAGCGTGCGAATTAGGAATCGTCGCAATTATTGGATGTGGTAAAGTTTCAAAAATAGTATTAAATAAGACGAACGACACAGGTTCTCAACTTGTTCAGTCTGCTGTAGTCACGTTGCCGGCCTGATGATGTCTGACAAGTGATCCTTGACTTCGCTCACAATTATCTGGACATTTTTGCATCACTTGACACAGTTGTTTACATAGTTACTATAGCGCTATATAAGTAGCGTAGATGAGAATTCATTTAATGATCGACAAATTATATGAGCTATAAAATAAAACGCCGGTTGAACTTGACTTCATTGTGATCACTTGAATGTTAATGTTAGATTTTATGGAAGAATTAAACTTATTGATTATTATGAGTACTGTAGATAATAATGTTATACACACAGGCTACCGAGAAATAGGATAATTACGTACAGACAAGGAGAACATGTACCAAATACATTACTTGTAAGCTAAATACATCTGCGGCTCTCTCATGCTCGTATGTTTGACGTTTAATACGATTTGCTATTTATCATTGATATTTAGTGATTATCATAAAAAAGTGGATTTATGAAGTAGAATTGAATGGTCGCGTGAACATAATTGCTGTCGGTTTTAACGAGCCCTTGCACGTTGCATCCGAACCTTGAATTAAATATAATAGGAAAAGAAAATTTCTTTTACCATAGAAATAAATAGAGTCAAGTTCAAATCACTCAGCATCTAGGCCAAGAAAGCTAATTACGCTTTCTCAACTGCCGTTTGTTTTATAATTGAATAAAAATAATGGTATAATTAATATTGAGCAATCGTTTCGTTTACAGGTTTGTGAAACCGGACGAGGTGGCCAAGCTGTGGGGCCAGATGAAGCAGAATGACAACATGACCTTCGAGAAGTTCAGCCGGGCGATGAGATACCACTATCGGCAGAACGTGTTGGTGTCAGTACCGACCGCACGCCTCGTGTATCAGTTCGGACACAAGGGACCGGACTTCAAGACTCAGAACCCGAACTTCGTGAAGGTCAAGTCGGAACTGGATCTCCAAGATATGCCCTACTCGTAGTTGAATCATTGTTATATAAGAAAAATGAAGTTATGCTCATGTTAGACGGAAAGGTATAAAGTTAATGTTTGATGTTTGTTAGGAAGGAGAAGACGAACTATTATAAGTGCTCGTCTTCTGAACGAGGTCTCAGAGTGTTTTTTTGAGTCGCCTTCAGAGAGCTGCGTCTGTAAAGCTGTTCGGAAGGATATGTTCTTGTGTTAGGAGTCGCTGGTGTATGGTGTATCTGTTCAGGTTGTTATGAATGTAAGAGACCTCGCTGTCTCCGTCACAATGGTTGTTCAAGGATTTGATTATTGGATCGTTCCGTCAATTAATGGTTGTAAAGTCCTTGTTAAAGTGTCCATATTATTTTTTTAAGTGCTTATAACATTTTTACAAATGATTTTTATCCACGTGAGATTTTGTGGTGTAACTTTTCAAGGTTGTTCAGAGTTACGAATTTTTGATAAAGTATTTTTAATGTTTCGATCGTTGTTACCATATGAGTAAGGTTAGTTAGTTAGCTAGTACTATATTGTAGTTAGTATTATAAAAGACATTCCGATTTTATTTATATAATATTCAGTAAGGTAAGGATCAATCTCTTTTCCGTAGAAGTAATCGACGTTGCCATACTTATTGTTTCGAGGTACTTAATTATAATATTGTTGTAATTATTTTAAAGTTTTAATTTTATCATATAATATATAAGATCATTTATTATTATTTATAATAAGCTCTCAGTGTTAGATAATATATTATAATTAATATGTGAAAGGTCGCATGAATGTGCAATAAAGTGACAAGAGAAAGATCTGTAGGCCAAAGATAATATAGGAGGATATTGAAGCACTCGCTTAATGAAAAATATAAAAACATATTGACATTATAAATGTGCTGTACAAATGACTCTCGGGCGATCGCTGTGATGTTAAGTAGAACGTTTTGTTTTTATTTATGTATATAGTTCTGTCAACTATTATATTCAGATGATTCTGTTACCGTGTCCAACTCCACTATTCACAGCGTCATTCTTTAGCTCTCATAAGTAATGTTTAAGATCTATTTAGTATTAATGATTGTCAATTTTCAGCTCCAGTACAAATATTGTGTCTTTAGATATTTTGAAAATAATATTTCGAAGTATTCAGTATTCTGATGGATGAAGACGACGTTTTAGTATAAAGATACATTATACGTAAGGTCGCTCACACGACGTTCTTTACATGTAAACGTTATTATAAAATTGTATTTAACATAAACTAAGAGTATGATGTTGATCGAATAAAACCGTTTTGACTGACATAATAACATAGAACAAAAAATAAACTTTTTTCTCATGTTTTACGACGAAAATACATTTTTTTTGACATATTTTTAATAAGATGAAATATTATATTTTTGTTTTACAATAAGTTTTTGTTAAATAGTTATTTAAATATATTTTAAATCTGAAATGCGAAATAATTTTAAATATTAATATAGTTTATCATCATCACAATTAAGTGTAAGGACGCTCGGATTCAACAAAAGCTATTTATGTACACGATTTTATGAAATAGAAAAGAAATATACGAATTATGAATGTGATAATGAGATTTTATTTAACATTTTATAAAGTTCCCTACCACCTTCCACTGAACACGAAACCTCTGTTAATAGACCATTAATAGTCTGGAAGCATCTTACGAATTTTTCAAAAAGTCGTCTTACAACTATGAAAATATAAAATTGAGTTTTGTATGAGATTTATAGCTAAGCTAATTAAGCTAAGCATAAATAATAATAAGGAGCTGATTTCAAAGTCTTTAACAGAACAAAAAGCTATATACCTATGTAGTATATTTCTTATTTTTCCTTTTCTCTTTCTGGCATGTTCGTGTCGCCTCTTGCTGTAGGCACTTCGGTTGCTGCCTTGGCGAGTATGAGTTAGCCTGTTGTGACTCATGTCCACGGTCACCGACAACCTCAAGGTTCGGGTTTATGAGCTATATTACTCGCTTTGCATAACAACAACATGTTGCAAGCTGACATTACATATCCTGCAGAGAAGGATACAGTTAGTGGATTCTAATTTGCACGATATAATATGCTTCGGCAGCAAATAAAAGAAGGTAGAATAACCCTACCAATTGGGATTCTGAGTTCCAGAAGAGTGTGGGCTTTAGGATTTGTTATACAGAACACTACAGTACAAACCCACAAAAACTGTAAATTTTACCAATAATAGGACTCCCGTTTTGTGTGGATTCTATATTGCGTTACATTCTTCTTAAGGTTGATGTTTATATGGAATGATTTGTACTTTTGTTGTCAGTTTAAGTTTTATACATTTGTGACACACATCTGTAACTCTTTTTATTTTACCAAACACAATCTCTTCTTGGCTTTTTGACGCTGTTGCCCTCTAATTTTATTTATTTTTCAACAATATCTGAAAGTTCCTGTTATGAACGCTCTGATGTAAACAGAGATTTTAGAATCACAAAATCTTCTAAATTACGTAGACTCCTTTTATGTAAGTATTGTGTCATCTGTATGTCGTCGGGTATCATGAGGAATTACCCAATATATTACTACCACTACGTTAAATCCTACAGGCTTGGATAATATCCGTGTCACTTCATTTAATTCTTTCTGAAAGTGTACATGAATCGTAAATACTCGTATGTTTTTAATATAAACAACATAGGTGAGTTGACCCATTTTTGAGGTTTTCTCACAGAACTCCAAAAAGTAAATTGATGCCAAAGGTTCCTACAATCCATCCACATGTCCCCAACTTTCCTTGTATTTCGTGTTACGTCGAATCCACCTTTCTGTCAAAAGAAACCCGTTTACTAGTGATTCATATTCATACATACATAATAAATATTATATTTAAAGTTCTTTTTTTTTACTTGTTTTATATATTCCAATTTTCGTATGTTTTATAGAAGCAATTTGAGAAATATCTTGACATCGAACACATATTAAAATAAACCAACGTGTTATAAAAATATATTGTACACTTTTGAAAAAGTTATGTCATTCCTTTATTATTTTATTCATAAAACTGAATATATTTTTTCTTGGATGTCAGTAAATTCCAGTTGGAGGAAATTAGAAAACTTAATGTCGATTCTATTTCTTTTAATCCATGTTTTGGTACTTCATATTCCTTACAATGATATATTATATACTTGTTATATTTACTTGTAGATATACAATATACACTAATATATAGTTTTAGGCACAAATCAAATTTCTTAATCGTTATGTGTTTACAGCGCTACTTTTTATTATTCTACCATTGTATCCGACATTTTGATTACTTGCTAACAAACGTGATAACGGTAAAACTGTTCGTTTGTTCGTCTCGCTTTTTGTGACGTGTTTACTTGCTTTCGAAATGCTTAGGATACATCAGAACCAGCTTATTACGTATTGAGGTCTGGTTGTGTTGGGACAATTATACGTCACTCGGGTTCTCTTAAACAGGATTTTACCAACTGGTTAAAATTATTATGTGATTTCCATTCAAAATTTAAGCAAAACATCGTATATAATTGTATGTTCACGTTAAAGACTTCGCTATCGCGCAAGAAACGATAAGTCGTTTCAATGAGAATTTTACAAAAAATAATTAATCACTTAAACACTAAAACTTAAAAGAAACAATAAAATTAAAATGTTTTTAATTGAACAATAATGTCTCGATAGAGTTTTGTACTTTGATAGAGCATTCAAAAATAAACCTTTTTTATATAGTAGTATAGTTTTATTTGTATTACAATATAAACGTGGTTTATATTTTTATCTATCTCGTGTATTTGTATAGGGGAGAGTCGGTTATATCGTACCACTTTTCACTTTAACTAAAATATTTCGACTATAACACGTCTTATAATAATTTATACATATGTAAAATAAAGTTTCATATTTTAGCTTCCTAAGAAGAAGAGAACAGATCCTTGCGATTATTCTAACATTGTTAAAAATGCTTTTTTATAGAGGCTTGCCATCGGTACGATTTAGCCGACTAGTCGTTTTAATCGTACCACTAAGTCTTTAAATCGTACCATGGGTGTTTAAATCGTACCACTGAATGAAAGACATTAAAATTCTCAATCAAATTATTTATTTTTAACTGTTAGGTAAGTATATAAAACAACATTATTTATATCTTTTAGGTAATACAAACATAATTTTTAACTCTTAGGTTATATAAAGGAACTATAAGCTTTCTCAGTAAAATAACATGATTATAACTATGATAATGAGATCAATCAACATAACTAATAAAAATGAGACAAAAATAAACAGTAAACTATAGTAATAATGTAACAGTTAATAAGAATGTTGTTTGTAATATTGTGCATATTTCTTTATGCATATTTCTTTCTAATCATCGCTGTCATCATCATCATCTAGTTCTACAACAAGCGTCTCTCCTGAATCATCGCTACTGGTGATGGAATGAGATCGTTTCCTCTTATAACTTTTGTTCTTGGCCTTGGGTAGTACTTACTATAGGTACTTGTGGTAGCACTATAGGTACTTGCGGTGGCTAGTCGGGTAAATCATACCAGTACAATTTAACCAACTGCAAGTGGTACGATTAAACCAATTAAGGCATTTCTAAAACAAAAGCAAATATCCGGCATAAACTCAAAATTTAGACACGCAACAAAAGCCCCCAATAATCTAGTATACAATTGTGGAATAATAAAAAAAAACTGAATAACTATAGCTTACCTTGATTATGAGTTATCTCCTTACGAATGTACGACAATATTTATATTAATTCCTACAAAAAATGTTTTTTTTTTATTACGTGCACAGTTGTTAACTCACGTCGATTTAAACTAGTGGGTGAAGAGGGATGGTACAGGGCCACGATTTGGCGTTGTCAGTGTAGAAAAAAATATTCATTAAATGGGAAATTTAGAAGTGGTACGATTTAAATGCTAGTACGATATAACCTACTCTCCCCTATTACTTAATTTTTTATTTCATTTATGTAAAGATTTATTTTA